CGCTTCCTGGAGCGGTGTCCTGGCCCGGCACGCTGCCGACTCCTAGCTAACGCCTGCACGCCGAGCCAGCGCCTCTCCTCCCACCCCCACCGCCCCCCGGCCCCCCCACGAGCACCTGCACGGGAACCCGTATAAATCAACCGTGGACCACGGCAAGACAACCTCATCCGAGGCGTATCACAGTCAAACATCAGATGACTCCAGGGCTTTGTGCTCAGTGGGAGGTTTCCTTTGGAGCAGAACTGAAAGGGTAAGCTGGCTGAATTCTTGTGGATGTGTTCATATTTCCTCTCTTTTTTTTCTTCTGGGAAAGAATCACAGTTTAATAAATGCAACATTTCAGTCTGCTGAGTGGCACATAGGCGACTTAAATGCAGAGTTTTGTAATCGTGTCGTTGTCATGTGTGTTGCTGATTGAAGCCTTTTTTCCTTCTCTCTCTCTCTCTCTCTGGATTTCTATACTTTACCCGCACGATATTAACATATTCATTGGATTCCTGCAATTAAATCGCAATCGCGGGTCCTGCGAGTTGTGGTGACAGAATAACGTGCCGCTGAATCCTTGTAATGAGGCGGGAGCAGCTGAATGAGGAAGGGAATACGGATTCATCCCGAGATGTTCAACAGTAAAAGAAAAAAAAGAAAAAGAAAAAAAGGCAGCAGAGATTTTCATTCGGTTGTTCTTCTTCCTCCTTTTTCCCCACCAGCATAGTGTACTGGAGTAAGGAGTGGGGAAAATCCATATGAATGACAAGGAAAAACTGAGGATTAGTGTACCATGAGGAACTTTGCCTATTTCAAGCTGAATAAATATGCACGGAGACACATTGATTGATTAAATCCACTCCGCTAGAAGGAATATCAAATCCAATTTTTTTGTACAAAGAAGTAGGATTAAATTCATGTCCAATAGCATCACTGACAGGGGTGATGCGGGAGGAAAAATTGCGGACCGCGGGGGTATGTCTGCACTTAGAGGCTCCGCTCTCGCAGGAAATGGTATTACAGTGAACAGTCCTGTCTGCTTTAGCGGTGATGCACAGGACCTTTTGTTGTGCTCAGCGCCTCGGGACAGCTGCCGGTTGTGGAGAGAGGGGCTTGGGGCTCGGCACCCCTTTCTGCATGGGGGGCAAACTGGGACTTAGTTTTGGTAAGCCCGTTCCCCTCCTCTGGATGCCGTATTTGCACGAACAGGCGGTTATCATACGAGCATGCGATCAGCGAGTGCTCTCTGCTTTTATTTCTCGTTTTGAAGCGTGATTATTTTGCCAAACATTCGTGTTTTTTCTCTTTTTATTTTATTTTTTGTGAGAATTTTTTTTGAGGATTTTGTTAACGCATTGGCTACGAAAATGGGTATTATTGGTTTTCAGGTATTATATAGCTTGGACTTGTGTGAGTTCTTTTCTGGGGTTATAGGATGGTGGAGAGCGTTTCTTGTGGATAATAATTTATGTATTTGCTTCAAAGCTTTCAAAATATATCTGATTATTTGTGTAGTGAAGCCGAAGATCGTTATGCGATAGCAGGTTTGAAGGGCCATTCATTCATCCGCTAATCATTTCTTTGCCAAATATTCTATTTTATACTATATTTTATTCTCTAGCGTTTCGTGTTTTTTCTCATATATTTCGTATTGAAAATCATATTTGCAATATGTCTTATACGGCCTATAGGAATGTATATACTTACCGTTTAATAATTATGTGTTTTAAATTTACAGGTCTCTGGTTTACATGTTAAGAACATAAGCACGTGGGAAAAACTTTGGCATAGTGATATGAAAAAAAAGATATATGAATAATTATTAGGATTTAGAATTTTTGTAGAACCAGCACTGATAAATTAGTTAAAAAGAATTTTATGTGACCTGGCATTATACATGGTATTAGCGATTCTGAGTGTCGATTACTAAGGAAACTTAATTATAAATTTGTTTTAAAAACATACACTTGCACGTATCACATTTTGGTAATTATAACATTTCCCAGGATAATTTTAAAGATCTATTTTGTTTATTGCAGAGATTTTGCGATTGTGTGATGAGTGATATAATTTCAATAATTTCATAAATGGGTGGGTACAGATGCATGAAATTATTTTCAGTACGGTAATATGCATTTTTCTATGTTTTAATACTAATTTTGTTGTCAGATGTATGATCCTTTATGACAAGGCGTCATAGGACACCTCTACAGGTAGCTATAAATGAGATTTAAATTTCTGTTGTTAGATTCATATACATAAAGCTGATGCACCTTTCAGCGAGTGGAAAACATAGTGGCACAAATGGCTCTTCTACTCTGACAGCCTTCATTCCAATTATTTTCCATATTATCTATAATTTGCCTCCTGCTGCTGCTGCTGGATTTTCTGTATGACATTTGTCAGGGCCATTGGCTATTAATGGGGTAAACAATGGTGATGTTAAGGGAGGCTTGAAAGGCCGTGATTTTTGCAGTGAACCCTAACCATTGGCCACTTTTCCAGGAACACTCATTATTCTTGGATATGTGCCAGTGAAACAGGAGACGCTCTGCCACTGAGGACTGGGAGTGATGGAAATGATAAAAAACTGAGATCTGGGGGGACTGGAGCAAAAATGGAACAGTTTGCTGACGGCTCAGGTAAGTGTTTCATGCAGGGACGGGTTCACCTCTCCACAGTTCCTCTTTTCAGTTTTGCTTGATTTAATAACAGAGGGAGAATCGGGGGAGGAGGAGGGGGGGAGTAGTGTAAATGCAGAGGGGGGTGTTACAGCATTTTAGCATCAATTCAAAATGCATTGTGTTAACTTCTGTTTGCAGAAAAACCATTGATGGGGCCTTGCCTTCTGATACAAGGCATCTTCAATCAATCATTTCACAGCCTCTTGCTGCTGCCAAATGCTTGGGGATCATGCAATATCTTTCGATTTAAATTGCTTTCTTCTTTAAGACTCTCTTCGGTGACGGGTATTCTTGGGTGGATAATACAGATTGCGTTGTTATTGCTTAAGAATACGCGTAGTTGAGGAGAGTCATTTCTTCGGCGACTTCAAGGAACTTAAATCCATTGACCCTAAAGTACCTGGATGCCTGTTTGTTTCTGTATTTTTTTTTCCTTAACATTGAGGGCAATTACATAGTGAATTTAAATGAACGCTGGGGTACGTTGTGAAGCCGCCAGTGAAAACATCATTTATTTCATACTCTTTTCATGATTGCAGCTTTGAGTCTTTGAATCATGTGCTAGCTGGAACAACGCTGGCCGTTAATAATTTTCTTGGAATAATAAAAAAAAAAATGTTAACATAACCAGCATTGTTGTGTGTTATGTTTAATAGACCATATACGTATTTGATATTCCCAATACCTTAGTGTAGGCCACTCGCTGGAAATATACTTCTTGTATATTTATTAGAAATAATGTTGCATATTTGTATGCATTTCAACTGATTGTAATGGGCAGCTGAATTTTAAATAGAAATTATTAACAAAAGCATTTGTATTATTTACAGTTTTGTAGTAAAATATGTCGCTCTCCATCATTTAATGGTGAGTGATTTTGAAATGATATATATCATACAAGTTCCCATTCCTCACTAACTGTGAAACAAAATGTCCACCATGGACTGACAGCCTGGCACTACATATGCAGTGGCACTGGCACTGGCACTGGCAGTGCAGTGGCACTGGTACTATAATATTTGCAGTACTGTAGTAAAATATGTCCCTTGGAATACAAACTCTCCATCTTTTAATGATAAGTCATTTCAAGTTATGTCTATCATACAAGTGTCCCATCCTCAATAACTGTGAAACAAAATGTCCACCATGGACTGGCAGCCTGGCACTATATATGCAGTTTGTGACTGAATTTGAATAAAGTACACGCATGTGCACACAAACACATAGACGCTCACAGACACAAGATAAGGAAATAACAGAGTCCCAGTTGCACAGGTGCTACAAATAGATTCCACTATAAGGTGCATTGGTCTAAACTTACATTGTGTGTAGGGGATTGATATAATAGTTAGGTGTAAATTACAAACATGTGCAACATAGCAGCCTCTATGTACCGCTAAAGTATTTCATTGTGAAAATCAATAAAGCATTTGCCTTTTTATTGCTGTGTTTTACAGATTGCTCTTGCTTATTCTTATTTGCTTTGTTCTTCCTGAGATATTTTTAATGTTTGCAGAGCTGTCGAATGATATTTATTAAAAAATATATCAATTTATTTTTTATTAGCATTTTTATGTTCTTTCTCTGAAACGAAAACAGTCGTCAAAATGGCACCATGTTCTTGTTTATCTGTTACCTCAAGGTACTTTTTCTGTTATATGCATCATTTTGATCAGAGGGGAGCGACAGAAAGAGCCAGCATGAATTTTAATTTCGTTTCACCACTAGGGGACCCATGGATACCATGATGCTATCAAGACAAAAAACACAGACGTGTCCCCTCTCCCACTAAACATAAATTCAGGAAACAAAAGCATACAATGAACCCCAGAGTCAAATACAAATAATAATTAAGAAAAAAAAATCAAGGTCTGGATAAACCCTGTATCATAACAACCAAAATATAATTTCAACAAACATGCTAATTGAATTTAATAGCAATTAAATGTTTGCATTCTTTATAAAGCATGTTGTCCAATATTTTTAAAATTATACTATACAATAATGTATAAGCAAAAACTGATGTATGAATTGGCACTACCTTAAATTTAATATTTAGTCTTTTTTATTTCAGGTAAGTATGAATGATCATTTATAATATTAAGCCTGAAGCATTTAAACATGTTGGTACATATAGTGCTGAACAGGACAAATGGTAAATATTTAAGGGCTTGTGTAACAACTGGTGGGTCACTAAAAATGCTCCTTCATGACACCCCAAGGCTGAAACTGGCGAGAGGAAAAACTCAGGACTCTCATCATTTATTCATGACACTATTAGGTTAATGGAAGCCAATAAGAGGTATATATTGGATCAATTAGAGCAATATGGGCACATCTTATGAAATATTTAAACATATTTACTGTACATGGTCATTTTGGGGCTTAATGATTCACATATCTTCAAGTGTGTTCAAATAAAATATGATATGTCTAATGAAAGAGGTAGTTTTTGCGTGAGACCGAAGGGTACACACTGTATACAATTTTGAGCATCCTTCTGACTAGAAATTCATTTGATGTAGGATTATAGTGAAGAATCCATGCTGGCAGTTTTGTTGTTGTGTCCTGTATATAGCGATGCATGTGACGGGCCCAGTCTCCGTAATGCAAATAGCTAAACATAGGTAAACACTGCATCGTCCAGAAGAATAATCTCTCTAAGACTCTACAGCTGGGGGTGCCGGATCTAATTCTAGCTTAATCTGATTTTGTTTTGACTCATGTACAGTTTGTTGTCTTGATCTTTACATTGAATACATTCTTTATTTATTGTTGAGCATTTCATTCATTCTTATATGGCATAGATGTATGTAAATGATACTGATTTCATTTAGATTACGATAGATTCTCAAGACCCTGTCTTCATTTAATTATAAAAAAAAATAAATAATTCTTTTGTGTCTTTGAAACTTCAAGACGGTTCGATTCCTGTCACCTTAGACACGGTAATTGTAGAAAAATTATAGTGCGACAGACATTGTCAGAACTTGATGTTTTATAAATGTACAAATGTCATGATGGAAATTGCTGCTAGACGGGCATTTTAAACTCATTTTTGTGTTTTATTTCTTCCTTATTCTATTGGTGAATCCCTGAGCAGCCTCAGCCTCAGCTAGAAGCATACTGTGGTTTCTGCAAATAAGAGCTGAAGCATTAATCAATAGTAAATTTTCTGGTTTTGCAGGGGGTGCATCTGCTACCCATTGACTCTGTGAAAACACAGGGTAACAGAGACATTAGGCCTGTGGTTTTGGGTATATGGAGTCTTATCCAACATGGTGACAAAGTGCACTCATGCGGGAAGATATATCATGCTCTTCTACCCATAGTACTTAGGGCAGAATGTATATCCGCATACCTGTTAGCACAACATAGTTTTTAGTTTAAAAATGAATGGTTTGCTTATTATATATCATACCAGGGTAGAGTTTGTAATATGAAATAGTACCTTTATTAATACTAACACAAACAAATGCATCGAAAGGTCTTTCAAATGTCACTATGAATTGCATCCATATCTACTGCTCTGGGGGCAAGCAATCTATTTAAAACGCCATCAATTTTCAAAATAACCTGCATTTCCGACTGGAGTCAAATTTCAAACTTTTAATGGAATTTCTTGGTAATTTCAGAAAATGCATGTGAAATTGCAAACACGTGGAATTACCTTTTATGTGTATAAATCTTTAGTGAGTGTCCTTCCTTTGTCTCGTGCTTGTGTTCCGTCGATTCGTCTGTTTCGCTCGTGCTGCAGAGTTAAGCATAGTGAGATCATGTTCATGCACTTTCATCTTCCTACCTGCTATGCTATCACGGGGAGGACCATGATCCGTCCGAGGTATTGTCTGCTCCACAGGCGTGGGTGAAGATAAGCAGCAGGTCATTAATCCATCTCCTGAACACTCCCTACCTTCCAGGAAGACCCCTTTGTGAGAAGATCTAAGACCCTCTTCTGACTAATAGAAGATAGTTCATCTTGATAAAAAAAAAAATACCCAACCCTGTCAAAAACACAAGTGTTTAGGAACACCAGATGATCCTTGGTAAACAATCTTTGTCTGCAGCTTTGCAAACAAAAAGGCAACTGTTAGTCCCGTGTTCTCCCGACGGCGGCAAGTCAGACTTTTTGTTTGTTATCACAGATGTTCGTGCGATTCGCCGCGATCAGTCCCCTTTCAACTGATTAATCTAACAATTTCAGTGACATCACATTTTCAACCCGTTCAGAAAAAGGCACATCAAAGAGAGTCTACGATTCACTGCTGATGTCAATCAAGCTCTAAGGTGCACGAGGGGCCGTTCAACCCCCCTGCTCTAGACAACTGGCTGTCGTTAACCAGCAATTTGGCTTGCAGTGATGAAAAATTACTAAAAAAAAAAAAGATTTGTAATCATTATTACTTAGCAATCATGATCATCTGAACACATAAACTATAAAAGGGAACTTTTATGTCATTCATTATAACAACAAAAGCCTTAATCAATTAAACCAATACATAGTTTTATTGGGACAAATGCTAAAACAATAGCAGTCTAGATCGCCATGCATCCCTCTATCCAGTGTTCTAACTGCTCATCCAGTACATCATTCTGTCCATTTTCGTAAGAGCCAGCAGGAGCAGGTATTCAGTTGACAGAGAGCAGGCCTTGATTTTTTTTCCGCAGATGAGCATATAGGTTGGCAGCCGATGACCTATTAAATCAACGGCCATAAATGCATTATTTACAGCAGCTTAATTCTCATGCTTTTTGAAATGCATGAGAAATACACAAATGTATAATCCGGGGCTGCTGGCTGTTAGTTAAGAGACAGAGAAACGCATGAGCTTCCGCACATGTTGTAACGCAACATTCAAACACTCAAGGCTTTGGCTCAAGACAAGTTGGAAAGCTGCATAATATATATACTTTTTTTTGTTTTTTTGTCAGGATAATGCTTTTAATCAATTCCTCTTAAACTAAAAGTATTTCAGTGCTTGATTCAATCTGAACTCTAGCCCAATTTAACAAAATGTTTGAATTTTGCCCCAACTATCTGTCAATGTATTGTAATTTCATTCAGTACTATCTGGAAGGACTTAACTGTGCCTTCATTTTGCAATTTGTTTAAGTTCATTTATTTAAATTTTATTCATACAGCTTGCAGGGCCAATGAGCATAGCAAATTATGTTCTGGCTTATCTATCTTTTCTTAATTTTAGTAATTTTAATTTTCATTTTTAATGTAAAAAGGTCTTTCACAGAAACAGGGAGCACAGTCATAAATTATTGATGCTGTGTGTTTTGGTTTGAAGAATGTATTGCTTAAAGATTTTTAGTATATAGAAAAAGAAAGAAATGTTTATTAGCACATTTATCATATATTTGGTTTATGATGTATAGAATCATTACCAGCTAAAACACTCATGCAGGTTCCTTCAGACAATGTGCAGTATGATATATATATTCCCATGAAAGAGAGACACATCTAAAACAGCTGAAGGAAACTGTTGTGCTCTTGATAGTATTATTTTTGGGAATTTATGACCAGGTCCGTGATGCTTTCTAACAGCCTTTTGAGAGGCTGGAAGGAGACTGGACTTGCAGGAAAATGTTGTATTTTGTTAAAAAATAGCAGTGCATCTGACAGCTGCCTTCTGGACACTAGCTGTAAAGTCTAATGATACTAATAGCATTGCTGCAGACCTAGGACACACAAACTGATGTGAGATTATACAGCAAGCCCCAAAGAAAAGAGACTATTATAATTTGCTGCTACTGTAAAACTATTATTTTTATATTAATGGCATTTTTTACATAACTAAAAGTAATTTACTAAAATATGTCCACCTTACAACCGTTTATGCTGGTCAGGGTCACTGAAATCTTGGAGCAAATCCCAACCAGGACAGGGTACTGGGGTGGAATCACCCGTGAGGAGAAGCCAGTCCATTGCAGGACACACAATAATTTGCTATGGGCAAATTGCAGATGCCAGTTGGCATTACCTAAATTAACCTATTACACAGCAAAATACCTGGATTTCCATTCAGCTTATTGTTAAATAAAACAAAAAAAGTTGTTGCATGAAGAAAATTAGAAAAGTATCAACTACAATCCAAAACATCACATAATACTCAAGACTAAATCCATTGTAAAAAAGAAGATTCCTTAACCCCTTCATGAGTGAAAGATGCTCACGAAGTTAGTTAATTTTGTTAATCTGCTAACAAGAAATATATTATTGTTCATTTACAGTATTGTAAATTTACAGTTTAAAATTTGAATACAGTATAAACGAATAAAGTACAAGAAAAAGCAACAGGGATTTCTCTTCTTGGCTAGACAAGCATGGCTTTAGTTACCATACTGTACCTTGTATTTGTTAAATTTCACTACCATCTCACTTAATTAACTTACTTAGTTAATCAACTTCATGAGTACCATCATGAAAATGAC